TGGCATATTGTAATGCTGGGTTGTGTTGAGCAAGCGAGCTGTTGGCATTTAGAGAGCACTGAGGGCAGGCATCAAGGGAGCAAACTAGTGAAACGTTGCATGTGCAAAAGAGAAGGTCCGCACACATCCAAAAACGTATTTTAAATGCTAAATTTAAATTTAAATGTTTTAGTTTTGAAGTGTTGTTGTATGCATTTGTCATTTTTATTTAATTTCTTTTATTTTCTTAAATGTGTATATATATAGTATTTATAGAGTTTTAGCTTTTAGTTTTAATTACTTGTTCTTATTTGTAAGTCGCTTTGGATAAAAGCGTCTGCTAAATGACTAAAAGTAAAAAATAAAATAAAATAAAGTATATAGTGTGACAACATGCACATCAAGCAACTGTGAACAGTATCTTTTTTCCTGGGAAATAGCAGTTGTTTGTTTTATTGTAGCCAAGACTTTGTGTCTACAGTATAAAGAAAAGGACTTTAATAAACTCTGAGAAATACTTACTGGAGTAAAAAAAAATATGACATCTATCCCTATAATGCCTATCAACTGATACCATATGGTACCACCACAGTAAATTTCTGTAAGGAATATATAAATGAATCCCAGTGCCTAGGTCATATTTCATACCAAATTTGCAAGAAATGAAAATATCAGTAACATGCATTTATAAAACAGATTGAAGTTCCATGTCATGCTGACGTCAAAGACAAAAAAAAAATAAATAAATAAAAATAATGACAATTATACCCATTTACCCTTTAAAATAAAATATGTGTTATATATTTTCTTAGAAATTACAACTGTACATTTCTAAGGCCTGGCATAAACAAATTTTGAAGGTGTGGTGCCACCCCTGGGAAATTATATCCATTACCCAGTTACTAGAGTTGAGTTTTATGTTTGGTGTCATTAATTCTAAATGCATTAAATGTATTTATAAAACCTCCTCATTAAATCCTTACTCAGCATGTGATGACTGGAAACACACTTCATTTTGGGAATGTCATGCATCAACAACAAGGAAATCTCAAGAGTAGAGCAGACCCAAACTGAGTTTACCTTGGATCAGACAATGTATACTTCTACATGTGGTTTTCAAATAATTTGATCCAACTTATTATTAGGTTTTAGTTTATATAATATAATATGGATATGGTTGTATGAATATACCGCTTCGGATACCTCCGGCAGAAGATCAGAGATGATTGGGTGTGTCTGTGGTCTGAGAAATTGAGTCATTTCTCCAGAGCAGCAGTTGTGTAGAGTCATGTCTTTATACGGCTTCCTCTCACCACTCTTACTGTTGCACAGGATTTAGGTTACATTTGTGGGGACTGGACTATTTTGGACTTTGTGGATTTAGGTTTTTGGCTGCCTCTTCACAAGTAAGTGCATTAAATTTTTTTAGTTGAAGAAAATAGACATTGTTTCAATGGACTATTGATAGTGAGGTACTGTATATATAATTTTACCATGCACCCTAAAAAATAAAGGTTCAAAAGGGGGGTTTTCATAATGATGCTTAAAATTATAATTTTTTTTCTTAGTGTGAAGAACATTTTAATCGTCTAAAGAATCCCTTTTCCACTATAAAAACCTAAAAGTTCTTCATGGAACCATCAAGGCCAATAAAGAACCTTTGTTTTTAATAGTGCACATATTATTATAATTTATTGTAATGATAATGGTGTTTAAAATATATCTTTGTAGATAGTGCAGATTGTATTAATGCTTCAGTTCCTACAAATGTAAGATAATATGGATTTATCTCTTTCCAGAGACAAACAGACCAGTCCAATTATTATTTTTTTTTTAATATTTCCTATGGGTCTTTGCTCAACAACATGTATGTTCAAATGTTGTGTTTTGTGTTTTAATGCAGCATTTAGATGAATTAAACAGACTGTTATCAATTACAGCAGCAGCTGCAACTGAATAATAAAATAGACCATGTATGTATGTCCAACAGTGGACACAAATGATATGCAAATGATACATTCAAATGTATTCTTTAATGAAAATGACAATTTTTAACATTTTGGAATAAAATGATTGATTCCTTTGTCTTTCTTAGGTTAATTCCATAACTAGCAATTTATATATCCTAAATACACATATTTTTCATACACTTTTCTTTATAATTTGACTAAATTACAGCTTAATTGGAAATTATGCACATACAAAATATTTTGTCCTGAAGTGACACATAGCATGATTTTTTCTTCACGTTTTCTTCACACATCACAACAAGCTCTTCACTGACAGTGTTGCGAACTTAACCAAGTACCAAGTAAAACCTTTATTAAGGACTAAATTATTGCTTGTAATTTGAAATAATGCCACACCTGAGGGAAAGTTTTTGAGAAACTATAATGTAAATCATCTTCACACATAGTAAATATTGAAATGTTTATTTGTTTGCATGATTATTTCACTCTTCACTGTTTAGACAATTCATAATGTATCCTGGATTTTCACAGTGTCACACTGGAAGAAAAAAAATCTGAAGAAAAATGTAAAACTTAAAAACTTTTTTTTAGAGTGCAGGCTTGAAACAAGGTTAAAACAATAAAATTTGTACAAGAGAAAGGCATTAAAAACATGCAAAAAAAATCTTTAAAGTTAAAAGTGAAAAAGTTTGCAAGGCAGTTTTAATGTGAAGGAGTACCGCGAAATTAATATTTTCTAAAGATTTGATAGATTAATTTGTTACTTCATCAGAACAGATCTGAGGAAATGTATCATTACTTCACTTACTCACCAATTGGTCCTCTGCAGTGAATGGGTGCCGTCAGAATGAGAGTCCAAACACCTGGTCCACAAGTGATCACAATAATCTACAAGTGATCGACACGACTCCAGTCCATCAATTAATGTCTTGTTAAGCAAAAAAGCTATGTGATTGTACAAAACAAATCCATCATTAAGGCATTTTAACTTCAAACCATTACTTCCAGTTATCAATAAAACTGCTTTCTCCAGTGAAAAATCATCTCATCTGAATTAGGGGAGAGAAATATGCAGAGATCAAGAACCGTCCAAAACAGTTCTAAACAAATAAGTTGGTGGATTTCGATGTGAGAGGTCAACAGAGGAAGGAATTTTTGACTGGATGAAGAGATATTATGGATTATTCACTTGTTATTTTGGCCAGAAGCAACAGTTTCAAGTTCAAATCATCCTAATGATAGATTTGATAAACATGCAGCTTTTCACTTTACAAGATGTTAAAGGTAGGGTAGGAGATTTGAAAAGGCTAGCAATAGCAAGCTAGCTTTGAAAGCATAAGATCCCACCCTCCCCGCAAATCACTCTCCAAAGCCATGCCTCCTCCAAAACGCATAAACAAGCACAGGCAGACCAGCGACACGATGAGAGACGGCGTTGGTGGAGGGTTGAATGCAACTGTGATGAGTGGGGGCGGGGCCGAGAGCCGTGGGAACGGAGCGAGGCCGGTGGAGTAATTGATAATGAGCGACACCTTCACCGGTCTCGAGTCTCTCGGAGGAGCTCCGGAAGGATAAAAGGGAGGAGTGATGACAGTGTCGGACGAGAGAGGACCAGGCCTGGATTTTATTTTGTGTTTTGTGTGCGGCAGTCATCCGCGAGGGGCTGCCGCTTTACTTTCACTTTGTGTTTGTTTATTTTATTAAAATCTTCTTTA